TTATTAGCTGATTTTTTTTTTGGTAACCTTTAAGCAAATACCAAGGCTAGAAAATTAAATTGACACTTAAACCTCAACAAATATTATATGATAGATAGTTAATCCTCATAGCGAGGCCCATTCACCCAGCTAACACAAGAATGAACACCTTCCAGTGACTTTCCATTATAATATACTCTGGAAGCAAAATACACACATAACATTTTTAACACACTAAAAGATCTGTGGGTGACTATCCACTTGCTTGTCTAAAAATGTCACCAGTTTTTGGTAAATAAAAGTTAATTATTCAGCTACAAAGGAACTGATAAATCAGCTCAAACAACACAACAAAATGTAGTACTTAAGCCAGTCATTTTTCTGGCAGCTCAGCTGGCTCAGAGCTTTCCTGTCAGTTTGTTTTTAAAAATTACTTTAGGAATTTACTGTCTGGAATTCAAAACTGTGCAAGTCAGATGTTCTTTGTTAAAGCTGATCTGGTTCTGGTAACAACATCCATAAGACCAAATGAAAAGCACAGTTGCCTAACATAGAGTAACATGTTATTCTGTATGGTATTAGCTTAGGTTGTGAGGGCTTGATTCAGGAAATCACTTGTGTGTGTGATTAAATCAGTCCTTATTCCAGACAGCATTTATAAATCCTTTTTTAGCTTTCATCCAGTACTTGGAGAGTCCTGTTGGCTTTCATGTGTTGAAGAAAGTTTCCTGAGGTTAAGGCAAGTACTTAAATATTATTCTGAAGAGGGATGCTTTTGAATGGGGTGGAAAAGGTTGCATTTTTCATACATGCAGTCATAGGAAGCTTGTCTTCCGTTCTTTGGTTCAGCCCTAATGTTTTGGGTTATTTTCTGTCAATAAAAGAGCAAGCCTTGGGTCCCAGAGAAGTGGCTTTGTCCCCAGAGGACACAAGATGTTAAAGTCACACCATCCTGCTTGCAACCATCTTTGTCTAGCTCAGTTTCATCATGAATTTTGTTCAAAGCAAAGCAAGAACCATGGGTCCTATGCCCAGCAGGACCCAACCCCTGAGTGATGTTTCAGGCCTGCCTGAAGTGTCACAGCACAGCAGCTTTCTGGCTGTGCGTTCAGTGTGTTTTTCTTCTAACAGTCTTGGTTTGAGGGGGCTCTTGCTCATGTGTGTAAGTCCAGTGCTGCAATTTTAGAATTGTTCTCCTCCAGTTGAATGTGGAGTTGCATCTCTGAACAATTGTCAAAAAGACAGCAAAACAGAAAGTGAGAACCTTTAAACCTGGAATTGCCTTTCTACCTAGAGCTGCAACCTAAAGCATGACCCTGCCCTGCAAATCAGCTGCCTACACAAGAAGAGAAATATTAGTGGATGTGAAGCTACAGTGAGAAATAGGGAAGTCTTGGGCAAGGCTAAAGCTTGGATCAGGTGGTGACCTCTCCAAGAGGCAGGACAGAAGAGAACAAGGTGTTGGTATAGATTTGTACACACTGACTGTGTTGCAGCCTGGCCTCCACAGTTTCCACCCTCCCTAATAAAGGACAGGGTGTGTTTGCAGGTGCTTTGTATTAACTGCAGGTGCGTCATTGCTGTGTTTTACAAAGCTTGACAGGCTGCAGCTGCAATATAGGAGGGACTGAGAGCAGTCAGGGGAGATGTGGGAGCAGGGACAGGTCATGGGTGCATATCACCTCATCATGGAAGAGAACTAAACACAGCCAGGAGCTGATTTAAGTATTAAAGACAAATATTTTTCTTCCTTCTTGTTGCAATAAGCAAGTGCATCTGTTTGCCAAGCTGTGCAGTACCAGGAGGCAGAAACCTGCAGTGGGGAGGGGGCAGGAGGAGGAGGTGATAAAGGCCATGGGAAGGGCAGGAATCTGCAAAAACCATCTGTTGCTTTTGCAAGCAGCAGTCAATAAAGTGGTTTCCTCTAAGAGCCCGTAATTGCTGTTGCAGGGCCGGGTGAGAGCAGGAGCGTGGGACCCAGTCCCACCCTGCTCACACCTTGGCTTTGAGCTCAGAGCCAGCCCAGCTCGGGGCAGTCCTGCTGCCCTGGGAGGAGCTGCTGCCCTGAGCAGGTGCCAAAGCCCTGCTGATCGGGGTGTTCAGCAACCACAGTTCCACCAGCCACAACCAGCTGAAGCACCAATGGAGGTGAAGAAATTTCTCTCCTTTTTTAAACAAAATTCTCATTCTCAACCTCTTTTGAACAAAATTCTCATTGAGACTGCACAGAGAGGCACTGCAACCCTGCAAAACCACAAACACTGCAGGATCCATATTAATTTTAAATGACTCTGTTGAAAGCAATCTCTGATAATCTGTTATTCCAGCCATTGTGGTAAGGAAGGAGAAGACTGTGACTTAAGAGCAGGGATATCTGCAAAAATATTTACATACAGGAAAGAATTGCTGTCAGTCAATCTAATAGTTTGTTGTATTTTCCTGGCAGCTTGCTAGTGAAAATATGTTAAATCGTATTTGTTACACTGCCTTCAGGTATTATTTGCCAAATGTAAACTTACTTTGTCATGGAAAATTTGAGATTAAGTGAAAGAGCCAAATCCTTCAATCCTTGTTCAGATGATACTCATACTAATTTCAATTTTTGTAGGTTATGTTGAATATGTGGCCCTTGTGCTTAGACCTGAAAGCTGGAGCTAAAGAGCTGTGTAGATGTGACCTAGTTTTTAGTCATTAAAGCCACTCTCACTTTTTATTGAACAACAGGATAGGCTGATTTTGTTTCAGTGTCACAAATTGGAAATTTTATGCTTTGTTTATGATACTTGCTAGGACAAAATTTTCAAAAGTATCTAAGTCTTTTCAGCAGCTACTGTCATTAGATCTCTTAAGGCACAAACAGGCTCAGGGGTTTTATTCAGCATTTTGCAGACAAATAATAACCTGGTCTGTTCCCTGTGGTGTGCAAAGGCTCAGTTCTGCGACACCTGGAAATTGTGTTCCAGGTGGAAGGCAAGGTCACAGGAGCACCTTGCCTCTCTCAAGCTTTGGGTTTTTATCTTTTCTCACTTGGTTTCACATAAAACGAGGGCTCTCAGCATCTTGAAGGATGCTGTATCAGTGTGAATAAAAGCAAAACAAGAGCTTTGCTGTCACAGGGATGAAGAACATAGAATTTCCTGGAAGGGATCTCTTTGCCAGCTTCCCATTAGGTTTCATTCACTTAGTGCCGTTTAGTGCATTAATTCAAATAATATTTCTCTGAGAAATGAAGGGCTTTATTCAGTCAGCCAAGGTGCACCTTTGTCTCTGTGCCTAGTCAGCAGAAACAAATATAGGCCTCCTAAAGAGCTTAAGTAAGACATTGAGCAAGGAAGCTGTCAAGCTTGAAGGTAGTGGGAGGTGTGGGAGTAGGAGGTGTGGCAGAGAGACCTAGCCTGGCTGAGTCTGTTGAATATCAGGCCAATGGGCCCACAGGAAGAAAGTTAATATTCTCCAACTGAGTAAGCAATGTCTCACTTTCTTCAGTATTTGGAAGTACAATATTAGATCCTGCACTCCAAAAATCAGTCTGTGTGCCAGGTGCATTGATAACTTGACAAATCAATTGATCAGGGACAATGACAAAGGAAGGAATGACTGCTCCACACGGATTGTTTTGCAACCTTCAGTGACACTAAAGAGGATTTGTAAGGCACAGCAAGTTAAATATGGTACATGACCTAATGTCACCCTTGCTAATTGGTGTTAGACAGATACCAGAGCATCTTTGCCTTGTTGCTTTTGTGTTTGCAGTGGACTCTGTGCAGTCCTTCTGGTCTGGATGGATGCTCTTTTAAAGTGCCCAGCTGGGCAAATGCTTTAAAGCAAGTGCTAATGAAAGAGCTATGACAGGAGTTTCTACATCATCCAACATGTTTTTTAAGTTTAAATATATTTAATACCTAAGCAGTTCATTGCTGTGAATACACTGTCTAAAAAGGTATTCAAAGCCTCAATTAAGATAAAGTTGAGGAATTTCCTAGCTGTTAACTGCTGTCATTGTTTTATGTTGTCAGTTCTTGTAATATTTCACTGTTCATGTACTGAAAATGTCAGACTTGTAGCCTTCAAATGGTTTTGTGGTTGCTGATGTTGCAAGGACAAGTGGTTCTTTTAAACAAACAAGTTATGTTTATGTTGCTAAAACTGGATTTTAAATAGTCACCTGTCAAATCCTGCAGAACTTCTGTAATCTCATAGCTACTTCTGCTATAGTTCTAGCCCAAGTCTATACTAATTTTATCTAGCAGAAACACTGGGGAGTTTCAAGTTCTGTCACTTTGATTTGATGGCATTCCAGTAAAAGTAAGGTGTTATGCATAAAACTGGAATATTCAAATATAAGTATTTGGAAAGATAAGTGTCTATTAGACTAGTTTTTTATTATCTCTGTCTGCACAGTGGCTATGTAGGATTCACTTTAATCATAGAAGTGAAGCAACTGTTTTGGGGCAGAAACTGGAATGGTAAAATCACCATAATTGGGTCAAAAGATAAAATTCCAAACCCCAAGCAAAGTGCTGGAAACCTATTCTTTGGCTGAAGTCCCACCTTAGAGTGTTCTGGGGCATCAGACAATGTTTGAAGTTCTAAAGTTAAGGACAGCGTTGGTATTTGAATATACCATTGTTGGTATATTCACAGAGAGATACCAGTCCCACAATAAACAGATGGCATCACTTACACTGGAGGAGCCATGTAGAGCCTCAAGCCCATGGAGATATCCAGCTCAGGGACTGATGCTGATGCCCACCTGCATCTAGAACTTGCAGCAGACCATGGTGGCTCTGGCCCATGAGCAGGTGCCTTCCCTGGAACCCATCCTACAACAACCTGTTGAAGGCCAGGTCGATGGCAGGCCAGGGTGACAATTTGTACTCAAACTCTGCAGATTCTATACCTGCCTGGTGTTTGCTGATGTCTGAAATGCTGTTGCTGAGTTGGATGGTTTCCCTTGCAGCTCTGCAGTGTTTGCAGGGTGGTTGCCACATTACTGATTTGTACATTGATGCTCCTCTCAGGGCCCTGGTGTTCATCGCGCACGGCGCTGGGGAGCACTGCGGCCGCTACGACGACCTGGCCCAGAAGCTGACGGGACTCAACTTGTTTGTGTTTGCCCATGACCATGGTGAGTAAAAAACTCTGCTTGATTAACAGCAGCTCAGGCCTTTGCTGAAGTAAATGCCATTACAGCTACTCAGCAGTGAGAGAAGAGCCAATAAAATATTTACAACCAGACATAAATGAAAAAGGATTACCTGTTGCTTTGTCAAGATCTGCATATTGAATCTGTAAAAGCTAAACCTGTTTGCTTGGAGTTTTCCTCAGCCTTTTGACCTCACTCTAAGGGATTATTTCTTCTTCACCTGTCTCTTGGGAGTGAAGTGGTATTGCCCGCTGTGGAAGTGGGACCAGGAGCCATTTCTGCTGAATTCACGGTCAATGTCCTAAGTGATCCCAGAGGGGAGCCTGAAATGTCAGCACAGCTTTCATATACTGATACAATGAGACAGCTGCACCCTTGAGACATGGAGAGGCAAGGAGGCATTGCTGACACCTTTGAGCACATCTCCACACTCCAGCAGAGAGACTGGAGCTGGCTGTGCACGCCTCAGCTCTGAGAGAAACCCTCTGAGGAGGGTGCAGGGCTGTGACAGCACAGCAGCATCCCTTTGGCCCTCAGCCAGCAGGGTGGGGCAGTGCTGGGCCAGGTACACAGTGCTGGGCAGGTGTCCCTGCCTCTTCTTGCTTGAAGGGCTCTGCTCTGTGCCCCACGCTGTGATGGAGATGTGCTGGGTGTCACCTGGTCTCTTGCAGTGCATGGATGGGGACATCCCGGCAACATACTTGAACCACCCATCCTGGCTCTCTGGTGGCCTCCTGTCACACATAAACTCTTGCAACTTCATAACTTATGCTTGGAGATCTTTGCTTTGATTTTATCGTTGCAGACTACTGCTCACTGTGACAGCCACTCCATCAGTATCAGTATCAGCAAAATGAATCAATGGGATTGATGATGGCAGCAGGCAAAATGCAAGGCCAGATTCTGAGCTGAGAGGTTGAAATGGGATGAATCTTGGTGTAAATCTGATGTCCTTTGGGCAGATTGAAATCCAGGTTGAAATGGGATGAATCTTGGTGTAAATCTGATGTCCTTTGGGCAGATTATCCACTGACATTGGGAAGTATACTGCAATTTACTTGGCTGAAGCCAAGACTCAAACCTGCCCCCAAGGTCTCCTCAAAGACAGGACTGTTTAACTTGAGTTTGAGGATCCTGAATCTACATTAGTCATTGCACCATTTATCTGTGAGGGGAAAAGCAAAACCTTACTTAATCTTGGTACCGAGGCTTTCCCTTGCTCTTGCTCTTGTGACTCACTTTTGATCACAGCCCTGCACTTGATATGCAGAAATTATCCCTATATTTCCTCTGAAAAAGAGAATATCTAGCCCTCAAGACAGCTTGCAAGGAAAATAAATAAAACCCATGTGACATTTATTTTGGAACAATTGATCACATGCCATTTTTGAGGCTGGCTTTGCACAGAGAGTTGACCTGTGCAGAAACATCCTAACTCAGCACCTAGGTCTCTCTCTCCCTGTGTAGGCAGAGTGTTTCTGAGTGTTGATTCATTCATTTTGATGCACTTCCTTCTGAGGAGGAGGCAGGGAAACAGGAGTCTGCAGTAATCCCAGTAGGAAGTGTCTCCATCCCCCTCTGTTTGTCTGCATGGCATAAAGTTCATGGGAAGGGGGATGGAAGAGGCCACATGCTGCTCCCCTTGCAGCTGCTGCTAGCAGACCACAGCCACTCCATACAAAAAGGCACTGAGCTCCAGGACACACAAGCAACTGGTTCAGTCTCCATGAGCCTGTGAGGGATTGCAGTTGCTCTCTGTGCATGTTTAACACCATGCCTTAGCTCCTCATTCCCATAAAACTTGATAGAGGTTTTAAGAAGCAGAGTTAAAATAGCATTAATTGAAGCAACAAATCAAGAAGAAATGATAAAACATTTATTTGTTGCATGGATTTGATACAGAGAATGCTTCCTCTGTTGATGGAGAAGGGTCGTTGAGGTGTGTGTTCTTGTCAGAGATGTTTGTTGCTATGTGACTATTTGCTCTCTTTTTCTTTGAATATCTTTTTCACTAGATAAACATAAATATTTCTTGGTGGTTTAGGTTTTGGCTTTTTTTTTTATACCTAATATTGCTGGATTAAACAGTGCAATTAGTACAAATCTGATTTCTCAGGTCAGTTAACAACTTTGCTGTCCCTGACAGACCTACAGTTTTGTTTGTAAATTCCGTTTTCCTGATCAGTAAAGAGGAGAGGGTGAAAAGGAACCTGAAAGCAGAACAATGGAAACACAGTTGTGTTACACAAAGAGCTGATGTAACTGAGCCTTGATTCACTGTAAGTTAGAAAGACAATTAACATCTTTTAGGCTCTGTATAATAATCTTTGCACTTAAAGAGACAACCACAAAGGATAAACTTTGATAAAATACAAATTACATCCTGAGGTAAATGCCAGTGAAAGCTGAAGGACATAAATGCCTCCACTGCTAAAACTGCTCTGGTCAGACTGGTGGTTTAAAATTTTCCTCCAACATTTTATCTATTCCAAATCACTTCAGCAGTGTGTTCCCTTTTGTGTCCTTTCCTTTGGATACCTTTGGGTAATATCAATTATTCATTTGTGTTAGCACTATAATAGCTGTCTGTTCCCTACCTCATACCATGGCTCTTAGTCGTGTGAGCTCAGTGTATACTTCCTGACCTGGATATTTGTCCAGGTTCTGGTATTCTCATGGATGAAATTCCCAATACAGGTGCATTATCCATGAGATCATTAATGCAGTTCCACACCGTGGCAAGCGAGATTTCCCAAATGACTCGGGAAGTTACCATGGTCGGAGTATGTGTGAATTGATTGATTTATGTTGTGTCTATCCTTCAGTCAAAAGAAGGAAAAATAATTTCCATTTTTATTGCTGACTCTGTAGGAGCTCACACATGGGCCCTAAATCTTGCCAAAGGCTGCTCTGAATCAGTGTTTCCTCTTATGCAAGGTTTGACCAAAAAGGTGCTTCACACAGTAACAAACACTGTGCACTCCAATTTGGGTCTTGGCATTGCCCCTTAGTGTAAGGAACCTCTGGCTCACTTTTCTCAGTATGTGAAGATTTGAGCATTTTACTCTTTGGGATATTTCATTGTAATCACAAGACTGCTGGACCTCATAGATATGTATTAGAAATTTTCCATGGTGACGGTGGAAATTGAATTCCAGAAGACCTCTTAACCTTAGCTTACATCTAATATTATTAAATGGCTTTGGTTTATATCAGCCCTGTGAAAGAGGAAAATGGAATTTCTGTGTAATACAGCAATTTTTTTTTTCCTGTGGTCTCTTATAAGGAGTTTTTAACAGGCGGGCAACTGCTTCCCATTATTTCTGGATTTGCTTGGCATGCAGCTTCATGATGGCAGAATTAAGGCTGCTGGGATGACCTTGCTATTTCTTCAAATTTAGCTATTTTGAAACAAAATATCACCTTTTCAATTTAATTTCTGTGCTAATATTATTTTATTATGGCAAGATTCTGATGACAGAAGAAAGATACAAACAGGTTATTGGCAATCAATTTAGGAAAGCTCTCAGAATGAATAACTGTGGGGGATTCGTCAAAGTGGAGTGATATTTCAGTTCTTCAGTCAGCTGCAGATTGCAGCTCCTTTAGTTTTAACACAGTAATTTTAGGGATCTGTAAAGCTGAGAGCCAAGGAAAACAAGAATAAAGGCTGGAGAATGTGGCTTTGTTTCCTCATACCAAGCATTTTGAGTTGGTAAAGCACATGATGTTCCAGCCATCCTTGTCTCTCTTCCTGTAACATCTCATTTGCTGAGATCTAATGCTCTATGGTTGTACTACGTGGCCAGAGCCCAGAAAAGCCACAATTTCACCTTCAAAAATACATGTCAACTAATAGCAGTCGGAAACACATTTGCAAGATACAGGGACCACAAAATTGTGTTTACTTTTTTCTTACACTTTTTAATCATAGTTGAAATTAGGCCTCTTTTTCTCTTGTACTTGCTCATGCTACTTATGGGTTTTGTGTCTGTTTTACATAAGGATGAGGAGGATGAAATTCTCAGCCCTAACCTGGTGGCAATTCCTAGCTACCAGATTCACTTTCATTCTACTTTCTTCAGGAGGAATAAACCCTCTACCTGTCCTGGTACATGGAGACCTTTGACCCTTTCACCCTTTTTGAAGCTGTTGAGTTTCCCACTCTCGAGTTATGTTTAATGTCAGATCAAAGCAGAGGGGAAGGTTGCAGCTCTAACAGCTTATTCACATTCCTTAGATGTTTCTAACTGAAGTTCAGCTTGCTCTGGCAGCCCTGCTGCTGCTGCTTTGTGTGTGGGGAGCATTTCTGATGGGTTAGCAGGTCCCTCTCAGACACCCACTGGTGCTTCTTCTCTCCATTAATTTTTTCACTGCTTTCTCTGTTTAATGAAAGATTTATTTCTAAAATGTAGAAAATAGCTTGAGCAGATATTTTTAAATGCACCAAATATTAGCTGCTTTTGTTTTGGTTTTTTTTCCTAAGTGATTGCCATGTTGTTCTTGCAACTGTTAAAAGACCATTTTGTTGATGAGAACAGAAGGCTTTTATTTATTCATAGCACTGGGAAGGATTGGTCTACACAGAAAGATTAAAAAGAACTAAACATGGTCAAACTGGGAGGGTGAAATGACCAAGAAGGGTGTCAGAATTCATAAGAACAAGAGTTAGGGTGGCGCTGTAAGTGTGAAGTAACAGCTTATGTACATTAGCACGCAGGAATGTTCTGGATGAGCCCATTGCACCAGAGCAGGAAAGGTTTGAAGACTTTTCTGCAGAGCTGTGGGGAAGAATGGCACTCACTGTTTCCTTTCCTTTGACAGGAGGCTTACAGTGGGTTGTGGGCATTTTCACTTTTCTCCAGCTGAGAGCTCTAGGTCCCTCTGACAGGGGACCCCAGAGGAGATGGCTCTTTGCCCTGCTGGTACAGCACTGCCAGTGCTGTTTTATCCCTGTTTTGACTCCCTACTCGGTACAATCC